TAATTACCTGATAGAGACTTAAATCTGAAATCCTGTACAGGAAACTAGATGAAGCCTTTCTCTAGAATTAGTATTCTACATGATGACCATTAATATCATGACAAAAGTATAATATATATGTTAATCTTATAAATTTCCAGATATTTTTACCTTAAGAAAAGTTTCAAAGAGTCCAAATAAAACCAAAGAATTATGAGATTAGTGGCAACAAAATAGTCCCTAATTTTGGTTTTTCTTCTGTCTCATTGCAGGTGATTCTTCAAACATGATACAGAGATTTTGGATTTTCTTTTAACAAGAGAAGGAGAGAGCCATGCTCCTACTCCAGCTTTCATTTTTAATTGAACCAGGACTAAAACAAGACAATTTGCATTATATATCTATGGAGAACAGCAGAAAGGAACATTTATGTAGATTTATGAAATTGTATCCTGTTGGAGAAGTGATATATCAATAGGCCAATTTACCATTTTTATTGGGACATGTTCTCTGGATGATTCATCTTTTTTCTTCAGATGTCTCATTTGTTCAATGGACTTCAAATTCCTTAGTTGGATGCCTTCATTCTCCAGAAAGACAAAAACAAAACCCTCTCAAAACATAACTTTGGGAGAATTTCCCTTTTGGCAAGTTACAGCTGATCAAATGAAAGCGTTTGTTAGTATAAGTCTGTTAGAATGAATGGTCACACTGTTTGATGAACTATCATCTCTAATTAAGAGATGTCTCTTGTTCAAATCGATTTTTAGTAATTTGATGGAATCCATAGTTTTTCTTCTCCTGTGGAAACAACAGCAAAACCCCTTCCCTGATGTAACACCTATCCTGGTTTCCATTCTGAGATCAACACATCCTTAATGTATACATGCTAATTTAATTCAGTAGTTTTTTTTCTATTATCCAATGACTTTCCGAAGCTGTTTGATGGGGCATGTCCTTCTGTAGGCTTTGAATATATGCTTCTCGTATTAGTTGATGAATAAAGTTGTTTTGGCCAATGGACAGGCAGGATTTAGCCAGATAGGAAATCTGAACAAGGATAGGGAAAGATAATATGTGGAGTCAGGGAGACGCCATGTAGGTACTGGGAAGGCAGGATACCTGGCATTCTCTGGTAAGCCAAGACCATGTGGAGATACACAGAGTAACAGAAATGGGTTAATGATTAAAAGAGAGCTAGCTAATAGAAGACTGAGCCATTGGCTGAATAGTTTATAATTAATATGCCTCTGTGTGTTTATTTGGAACTAAATGGTTGCAGGACCAGATGGGACAGAAACTTCTGTTCACAGCTATTGTTCCTTCTCATTAGCATTTAGAAAATTTAAAATTCATAAAGCATTATGAAACCTATTTTTAGGGATCTTTATTACTCATTTCTGTTTTTTAAGCATATCTTTTAGAGTTTGAGTAGATGTTCCTATAACTGCTTGCTCTGTAGGATTGTGTGGTATACCTATAACATGCTTTATATTGTAATAATAATAATAATAAACTGTTTCATTTTACTAGAGACATATGCTGAAGCACTGTCAGCCTTAATTTTTACAGGTATACATACCCACGATGTCCATAACTTCTAACAAATGTGTGATGACAGTTCAAGGCAGTTGCCCATTGAAATCCTGGATTTTTTAATCTTCCAAATTCTGCAAAATGAAATACATTCATATGCCAATTTCATTTCTTTGAGTACCATTTAGGTTACTTCCTGCAGGCAGTGGAGTTTGGTTATACAAGGAACAAGTTAGGACATTTCCTTATAATTTCCTTGGCTTGTTGCCAAGTGATGGAAACAACTGTTTTCAACCTCTTGCTATGGACATGGTGTTTTTATGAAATGCTGAGACTTTTAGCACATTTCCTACCAATAGTTGATCACTTTCATCATTACCTTGTGCTAGAGGGCCTGGTAGACCTGTATGGGACCTAATATGTGATACATATAAGGGATGATTTCTATTTCTGATTGTTCTTGTAACTGGAAAAATAATAGTATCGTCTGGAATAAATGCAGCAGTTTCAATATATAAAACAACTCTTTTTGTATACTGAGAGTCAGTCACTATATTAAAGAGATTTTGGAAAATCTAATACTATCAAAAGAATAGCATATAATTCTGATTTTTGAACAGAATGATAAGGACTTTGAGCCACTTTATTCAAATTTCCTGATTTATAACCTGACTTTCCTGAATTGTTTGCATCAGTATAGAATGTAGGGGCTCCATAAATTGGTGTTTCCCATATAATATGAGGAAGGATCCAGTTATTTCTCTTTATAAACCGAATTATCATGCTTTGGGGATATTTGTTTTTAATCTTTCCCCCCAAAATTACTTGCCAGTGTTCATTTTCTGCCCATAAAGAAGAAATTTCAGCACTAATGAAAGGTACTATAATTTCTGCTGGGAACAGTCCTACTAATGGAAGAAGTCTCAACTTTCCTATTAGAATAGGCTCAGAAACCCTTTCTATATAGGTCTTTAATTTTTTACTCTGTTTACTTGGCAAAAATGTCCATTCTAAGATAATCTCGTCTCTCTTCTTTAAAATTCCTGTAGGGGAATGAGTAGATGGTAAAATACTGAAGCTGGTCTCCTAGTGTTGCAGTCTGCTACAGGTCATTCAGGTCAGATTCAAACAGGCCTGGATTCTCTTTGCAAACTGGAATAATCTGAGAATTAAAGAGACAGTTTGATACTCTAGGCGATTATAGCAATTGCTGACTAAATACTTGGGCATCTCTTGCCTTCTAGTCTTTTTAAAGAGATGGGGAACTAGTAAAAGGGCCTTCATCTGTGACTTTTGGTCTACAACTGGAAAAGTCACAGGAAGGAAGGGGCAGGCAAAAGAACAGCTTTATTGGCAGAAACTTTTGACTAATGCTCTATGATCTACACACCTGTAATTAGATCAATAAGGACTTTTTTGGAACAACAATAAAAGGATAACAGATCCTTTTGGGTAAAGAGTGTGTTTCACTAGACTCACATCCTGGACCTTTCAGCCCTGGAGCTCACTGAGGAAACCGACCAAGGGATCAGACCAACTCCGCAGTTTGCCCCTGACCTTCACATGTGTGCTGTGGCACCAGATATTTTTTTTTAAAAGAGATTATGCTCCAGAGTTCTATAGACAGGATCAAACATTGGCAAGAAGGCAGGAAAAACAGGTCATATACTGAAGGTGTAGGTGTAAAAATTTTACTAGACCCAAGATAAATGATAAATGGGTGTTTATTGGGGAACACTTACACAGAAAATTACAAAGAACTGTAGGAGCGTTCTCTGCCCTTCCTACCAGATTGGCTGACCAGCCAGAAAGAGTGCAAAAACAGAAGCCATGCCTCTTTCCTCTTCTGTCTGCCTGAAGCCACACCCAAAGGGGTATAGCCATGTCACACGTTCACAGACTAGATACCTCTGAAATAACTGAAATTTTGCTGAGTAATTAGCAATGCCCAGTAAAGCTAATGGCTTAGAGACAAAATTAAAAATGTACTGCTGGAGTACAATCAAGTAATAAAAACGCAGTCCAATGGAGGCTGGCCTTGAAATCCTGACCCTCCTGCCTCCTTCCTCTCCTTGTTCTGGGATTACAGGTGACTACCACCAGGGCAGTATAGAATGTTTTTTATATGAAAGTGCTACTTGAATGAAAAGGTACCCAAGCATTGCATTCATGCTAAAACATAAAGGTCATAGAAACATAACAAGGAAATTTATTACATGATGCAAATAGAAAGTTCTGGTAAGTTATCTTAATTTAAAACAAGACAAAACTGACAGAAATCAGATCACTCTGTAAAACAGAGTTCACAGCAGAACCAATGTGCCGGGACCCTTGATGCCCAGGATCAATCCTCTTCCGCTGTGCTGTTTGCTCAAAGGGAAAGCCAGGAAAATGCAGCCTAGGAAGGTGTGGGCAATGGGGCCTGCACAAACCTGGCCCTATCCACAAAGGTCCCACCTGCACTTAGTGGTCCCCTCTGCCTTTGTGCACACCCAGAAGCACTCACCACATAGTCAGGATTGGTGGAAACCCTGATCGCTTTTTTTTTTTTTTCCTGTGCTGCCAGCATTGCAGGATCCCACTCAGCTGCAGCTGCCTCTGAAAAGGCAGAGAGTGCCCAGATTCTTCAGTGCCTATCTACCGGAGCAGTCCTTCTCTGAGCCATTCCCTGTGGCTGCCCTGGTCTCTGCACCTTCTTCTCTAGTGGCTTTGCGATGGGCTTAGCAGGGACACCAGCCCTTTCAGTAGGGGCATCCCTCTGGAGCATTTGCCCCATATACTTATATTGGTAAGGTGAGCTGCCGTGCAGGCCAGGAAGTGCTCACAGGCACTGAGACTTGCACCTGCTCTCGCTTGGGCAACAATTATACTAAAATTGGACCTGCACGATTAAATGAACACCTGGACAAATACTTTGACTTTTTGCTAGTAGAGCAAATGGCTGACTCAGGTTGGCAGGTGGGAGCCACTTCTCTAGCACTCCTAGTTGCAGACTCACCTGCTGCCTAGACCCCTGCATTTTCAGAGGCTGGGGATCTGCACAGGTCTAGGATCACACCTCGCTCCACCACTCTATGCTATGGGCAGGATCCTGAAGGCCTCTGAACCTAGCTCTCCCCAAATCACTCAGTTGGGTGCAGCAGCCACCTCAGGCTGGATTTGAACTAAAACACAAAGGACTTAATATTTATAATGAAAGCCTGAACAAGGAGCTGCCATGCTAATAACTAAGCTGACTCTTTGATGGAGTTCCTCTCAGAGGGCCCCTAGTGGTCCATCCCTTTGTGGTAAAACCAGTTCTTAAAAACAAAACAGTATAACCAGGTGGTGGCGGTGCAGAGCTTAAATCTCAGTATCTCTGTGACTTTGAGGCCAGCCTGATCTACACAAAGCTACACAGAGAAACCCTGGCTGAAAAAATAAAAAACTAACAAAAACCAAAACCAGGGAAATCTGAGTAAGAGCAGGAATCTTGCCAGACAAGGTTTATCAAACGTAATTTATTTAGAACAAAATACATTTTTAAGAACTTAATTCTAAAAGAGAGCCTAGAGATTAAGAATCTGCTTCCAAGAACACCCAGAACAGAAGGAAAGCTCCCAGGAGGAAGCAGGGTGGGTAGAGGGCCCACAGGGCTGGCCATGGCAGCCAGTCCTCCTCTTCTCATGCAGTCTGTCCCACAGTAGCCATGTTCCTCCGCACAACTGTCAGCTGACACTGTGCTACCACCTTCCCAAGTAAACCAATACAATCCCAGTCAACTGGGGACAGCAGTCATTTACTGTACCAGACTGAGGCCTGGGATGTAGGAGCCTGTACTAGCTGTGAGGTCGCTTGGTCATGGGCTCTTCCTCCTTCTCCTGCTTTAGCCATCGGTCCAAGAGGCTGCTGGTGGCACCTCTTTTTGTAGGCAATGAGCTCTTCTGCAGAAACTGGCTGGACCACTGGGGTATACCTGACTCATCCTTTTTGGGTGATTCAGGAGCTTCTTTTTTGGGTGACTTTGTAGCTAGCCATTGCATCATTCGTTGACTGCTGCCACATGTCTTGGGCTCCTATGAGAGAGAATTTTCTTAATATCCAAGTTTGAGCTTCAGAGGAAAGACCAAAATGCAGAAATAGGAAGAAGCATGCACCCCAACCCACAACCTACACTTCAATAGTGTTACAAAGAGTACAAGTAAAAGGGTACTGATAGTGCTCTTAGAATACAGGAGAAGGATTTAAAGGTCAGAGGACAAGAGTCATGGTGGAGCTGGAGATTCTTCCAAACACATAGAGAATGAAGTGCCTTCTGGGAAATTCAGTGACTCAATGGTTGGGAATGGAATGCTGAAGTCAGGCTGTAACCACACTGAGGCTCAAGTGTTTCCTTGCTCAGTATGTCTTACTGTCACTATTTCCTTTGCTGCCTGTGTGTCACACCCTGCCCTGAAATGAGAGGTTCTCTATAAGCAAACAGAACAGAGAATAGACTATGATTATTAAAAAAAAAAAGTACTGTAACTGGCAGTGATAGTGGACACCTTTAATCTCTGAATTTACGAGGCAGAGGCAGATAAATCTCTGAATTCAAGGTCAGCCTGATTTATGACCCCAGAACCCACATAAAAGGCAGGACAAAGATATAACCTCAGGCATGCAGAGCTGAATTTGAGGCCAGCCTGGTCTACAGAGTGAGTTCCAGGACAGCCAGGGCAACACAGAGAAACCCTGACTCAATAAACAAAAAACAAAAAGAGAAGGAAGAATACTGTCTATTCCAAGGTGAATTATGTAATCATATTAATTTTTAATTTATTTATTGTGTATGTATACACATATGGGTATGCACATGCCACCATTTGCATATTAAGATCAGAGGATAACTTGCAAGAGTGGATTAAAAAAAAAATCACATATGGGTTCTGGAGACAGAACTCAGGTTATTAGGCTTGGCAGCAAGTGCCTTTACTTGCTGAGCTCTCTTGCTGGCCCAATAATTAAATTTTTAGAGGGGGAAAAAAAATCATACCAGTATTGCAAAATATTTCAGGGAAATTAGACCCCTCCAAAAAAAGACAGTGACTCTCAGTACAGTAAAGAAAACAAGAACTTTTGGGGGCAATGCAGAAGAAGCCCAGCTGGTCCTCATAGTCCTGTGACACTGCTCCAGCATTCTGAGAGCCCTGTACCATGGAGCATGTTGCTCCTGCTCCCTCCAGGCCACAGAGAGATGAGATGCTTCCATGTGCCAATGGAGCCAGCTTTCTGATGTGGAACTTCCCTTCCCACTGCAGGTATTTGCCTGTTAAACACATCATCTGGATCCTTGCTAAATGCCGAAGAGTTACAGAGCACAGCAACAACACTCTCAGGTACTCTGGAAGAGAACGAGGACTAGAGCTTCTAGTTGTGAAGATAGGTACACAAAAGAATCACAGCTGAAAGGCTGAGAGACAGCTGTCAGTAGAGCACTGGCTTTACAAGTATGAAGACCAGAGTTCAACCCCTACCATCTACATAAATATGCTAGGCATGGTGGCACACACGTGTAATCCAGAGCAGGGGATGCACAGACAGAAGGATACTAGGTGGTCTAGACTAAATGGTGAGCTCCAGGCCAGTCAACTCAGTGTTTCTGAAGATGGTATCTGAAATTGTTCTCTGGCCTCCACACATTTGTGCACAAGTGTGTACATCCATGTGCATTTGCACACACAGATATATGAACACACACATTAAGAAAAAACTAATCATAGCTAGAACAGAAATTAAAAACTCATTCCTCACATTTACCCTGTCTATTTAGTCCTAGACTCATTAAGGAGATTCTTAACGACAAAGAAAGCCAATTTTTGCCCTTAATACTGATTCTATATATTTAAACAGGATTCAGCATTTAACTGTCTGGAACCCATGGCCTCTTAACATGGTAAACAAGCAAACACTCCACCACTGAGCAGAATTACTTTGAAAGAGCTTTGTGTTGGGGCTGTGGTGGTTTGAAAGGAAATGGCCCCCAAAGAGATTGGCATTATTAGGAGGTGTAACTTGTTGGAGGAAGTGTATTACCATGGAGGTAGGCTTTGAGGTCTCATATAAGCTTAAGCCTCACCCAGTGAGACAGTTCACTTTCTGTTGTCTGCAAGATGTAAGAACTCTCTGCTCCTTCTCTAGCACCATGTCTGATGCATGCTGCCATGACCCACCATGATAATGGACTAAACCTCTGAAATAGCAAACCACCCAATTAAATGTTTTCCCTTATAAGAGTTTTCATGGTCATGCTGTCTCTTCACAACAATGGAAACCCTAAGACAGGGGCTAAGTTACAGTAGGATCTGAATATCCCTGCTATATTTATCTTCCAAAGAACATGAGAGCTTTGGATAGTTAAATTATATTAAAATTCTGGCCAGGGAAATTGGTACATGCCTTTAATCCTGGCACTTGGGAGGCAGAGGTCAGCCTGGTCTTCATGGCATGCTCTAGGCTAGCCAGGGCTACACAGTGAGACCCTGTCTCAAAACAAATTCTGATGGTGGGTGCTGTTAGGAACTAGCAGCCAGCTGACCCCCGCCCCAACGATGGGCGGGGCGGGGCGGGATGCTCATGGCCATGTCATCCCTGCGTCAGCTTTACCTGGCACCAGAGGACTCAGTTATGTATGCGAGCCAAGTGCTTCTCTCTCTCTGCCTCTCTGCTTCTTTGCTCTCTCTTTGCTCTCTCTCTCTCTCTCTCCCCTGCTTTCGGTTGGCCACCAGCTACCCCCTCTTTCTCTCCCCTCTCTCAAACTCCACGTGGGCGCTGAGTCTCATGTTTGTGTTTCTTAGGCATTAGCTGCAGCAAAAGAACAACAGGTGCTACAGAGATGGCTTAGCAGTTAAGAGTACTTTGCTGGTCTCCAGAGGACCCAGGTTCATTTCCAAGCACCCATATTGGGCAGCTCACAACTACCTGCAACCCCAGTTCCAAGAGATCAGAAGGCCTTTTCTGGATTCTGCAGCCATTATATTCATGTGCACAAAGCCATCCACAAACACATATATACACACATAAAAAGCAAATCTTTTAAAAAAAAATCATAGGAAAAAAATCCAGGCATCGTGTGAATACCTTTATTACCAGTGATAAAAGACGGATCTCTGTGATTTTTAGGCCAACCTGGTCTATATAGACAAGTTCCAGGCCAGCCAGGGCTACAGGGTGAAACTCTAAAATTCAAATCACATGAACCCAAATGAAATAAACATTAAAGGCAAGGCAAGGCAAGGCAAGGCAAGGAATATTCTTAACAACAGGTGTTTCAGAATAGACTAGTCACAGCACCTACCTTCTTCACCACCAAGCCAGCAGGAGCCAGACACTCCGGGGTGTTGTTTCTGGAGTTGTTCACCACTGTAGAAACTGGATGGAAAGTTATATTATCTATGGGATGGATTAACTTCAGAGCTTCCTGAGTGGTGACCTCACCAAAGTCAAGCCATTTGGACACTGCCTCTTCTCCATCTAGTATGGCAGGCATCCTGGCCAGGGATTGGATGGAGTGATAGGTGAGGGTAGGGAAAGGAAAGAAAACGAGTCAATTGTTAGTGCAGGCATCACAGGGGCTCCTAGCCCTCACTCTTACCTCAGCTGCTGACATGGCCCCATGTTCCCTGATACAACCAGATAGTGCACTGTTGACTAACATGCAGTTATGACATTTCATGGCACAAGCAGTAAAGAGCACTAAAACTGAATCTAGTGCATGCTAGTGCAACCCACTGGTGCCCTGAACTACAGTTAAAGGAAAATTAGATCCTTGAAAAGTCTGCCACCAACTGTCTCCAGATATCATCTGTGAAAGACCATGAAAGACCTCCAGCAAGAAAGTACTGCCAGGCACTGAAGTGAGCCTGAAGTCACAGCTACACAGGATGCTGAGGTGGATGGGTCCCAGAGTTCAAGCTAGCCTGGGCAACACAGCAAGACCCATCTTTTGTTTTTGAGACAAATTTTTAATGTAGCCCAAACTGCCCTCAAATTCAAATTCATGATTCTCTTGCCTCTCCTTACACTCCCTAAGTGTTGGGCCACACCAGGTAACACCTCTCTGTCTGTCTGTCTATATTCTCTTTTTTTAAGACAGGATTTCTCTGTGTAGCGCTGGCTGTCCTGGCACTCACTATGTAGACCAGGCTAACCTTGAACTCAGAGATCCACCTGCCTCTGCGCAGAGATTTAAGACAGGCTTTAAGATGCATTTTTTGTTTGTTTGTTTGTTTTTGTTTTTTGAGACAGGGTTTTCCTAGTAGCTATGGAGCCTGTCCTGGAACTCACTTTGTATACTCGAATTCACAGAGATCCACTGCCTGCCTCTGCCTCCCTAGGGGTGGGATTAAAGGCAAGCACCACCACCATAGGCCCAATAAGATTAATTTCTTAAAAAAACAAAAACAAAAAAGACAGTCAAGGTGGCACATACACATAATCCTAGCACTCAGGTGAATGAAGGAGGAAGATTACCAAGAGTTCCAGGCCAGCCCGGATTTACACAGTGAGTTCCCAGTCAAGCTTGGATACAGAGTGAGATCCTGCCTCAGAGAGAGGGACACATGTACACAGAGAAAGAAAGAGAGAGAAGACCCTAAAAATCTCTGAAATCTGGATGCATTCATACCTCTTGGACTATATTACATCATAGTTGGAAATAACAAGAACCTTCCCCCCCCCCTTCCTTTTTTCTGGTTTTTAAAGACAGGGTTTCTCTGTGTAGCCCTGGCTGTCCTGGCACTCACTTTGTAGACCACGCTGGCCTTGAAATCACAGAGATCTGCCTGCCTCTGCCTCTTGAGTGCTGGGATTAAAGGTGTGTATTGCCACCACCACTTGGCTAGCCTGCAGTTTTATAGCCCAGGTGTTGTAATTGGAAAAAAAAAGAGGCTTGAAGAGAGAATGATGCCATGTAACAGAGTTCAAGTGGAGGGTTTTTTTTTTTTTTTTTTTTTTTTTTTATTAAGGGAAAAGGATCATAAGGAGGAGACCAGCCTCCAGGGATAAGAGCAGTAAGGACTGAGAGGGAGAGGAGAGAGGGGAGGGGGAGGGAGGAACAGACAGATAGAGGGAGAGAAAGAGAGAGAGGAATGGAAGGTGGGCAGGGCCCTTTTAAAGGGAACACAGTGAATATGCATAGGTGGTACTCTTAGTAACAGCAGCTAAGGGTGTATCCTGTCAGAACTCCAAAGGCAGGCCAGTACAGATGCCTAAATACTAACACCAGGCTCACATTTTACTGATTGTTTGGCACAGCTCATTTTAGGAGACAAATGTATAAACATTTATATTAACAGATAAATACTTTAACTTCAAAAAATCAATATACTTTAATAGTTTAAGATTTTTATAATTTGTAATTATGTATAGATGTGTATGTCTACATGTGGGAATGTGCATGTGGTTGCAGGTATTTGTAGACGCCAGCAGCAATAGTAGATTCTCAGGAATTGGAGTTGTAGCTAGTTGTGAGCTGGCTCTCATCTCTCCAGTGATACACCACTGGTTTAGTAAGTCTATGGTCATACTTAGTACATAATGAACCATGAGCTACACCATCAGCTCCTAAAAATACTTTAAAATCTCAGAAATAAAAATAATTTACTATGTAATTCTCCAAGCATGTTGGGAAAACTGCTCATAATTTGTACAAGTTAGTTTCCTACTCTCTAAAATCAGAGCAAACTTTCTCCCCAGAAAACAGTAGTGACTTGCCTGTTGTGGATTTCACTCAAGCCTCTGCAGGAATCAACTGTGATGATGCTATAGGAATATAGGCGCTCTCCCTCTGGGGGTTCCCAGCAGTCAAAGATCCCAGCCATTGTCAGCGGTCTCCAGCTGTCCCAGACCTTTTCCTTGCTGTCAAGGCTGTCTGTAGCATCATTCCCACCTGACTGGGAAGAGCAGGTAGATTGGACATGCTGAGTGCCAATTCACACCTGACACACATCAGTTGCTCTGAAGCAATTCAGCCCATTTCCCATTTTATTTTGACCCTGTCTGACCCACTATCATCAACACCAACAGGCTTCATGGTAAATGTCTACAAAAGCTGTAGATTACAGCTTCTTAAAATTTTCAGAATTTAATACCTTCACTTGATTTCAAGCTTTCAAAAATGTAGCTTAGGAAGGGCCTATAGCCAGGGAGTTTGGCTACTGGGAAAAACACTCTGGTGTGTCACTGCTCACCTAAAACACAAGGAGACACGAGAGAAAATAGAAGCCTGTGCTGAATAAAGATAATGAAAACAGCAAAATCCAACTCAGGTCTATTCCCATAGTAGTGACTTGATCTCATAGTTAAAGGTACAAGAGAAGAATTCCCAGGAATATTATTTATTTCGGTCTCTGCTTATACACTGTGTCTAACAACAACCAAAAAGTGTAACAAACATAAAAAAGCTAGAAAGAATATACTGTCAAGAGAAATCATCAGAACTAGACTCAAGGCATGATAATATTTCCCAGATGGCTTAGTTAAAACACTAAAGGCTCTTTAAATAAATGAGCACTACCCAAACTAAAACTGAGAAAAACAATTCAGAACATACTGTTCAAAACTACAGGATAATATCAAATAATCTAACACATCTGTAAAACATAGATAAAGTGCTTTTTCAGACAAATTAACACCAGATTTCAAGCTGGGCTTAGTGGCACATGCCACTCAGGAGGCAGAGGTAAACAGATTTTTGTGAATTTGAGGCCAACCTGGTCTGTATAGGAGTTCCAGGACAGCCAGAGCTATATCACAGAGAAACCCTCTTTAAAAAACAAAATGAAACAAAACCCCAGAAACATAAAACAAAACAAAACTTCTCAATTAAAAAGCAGCTGTGGAGATGGCTCAGTCAGTAAGGTACTTCCCACATAAGCATGAAGACCCAAGTTCTCATCCACAGGACCCACATTCAAATTAGACACCATGGCATGTGCATATCACACTTGGGAGCTTGCTAACCAGCCAGCTGGCCTAGGCAAATCAGTGAGCTTCCAGTTCAATGAGAGACCTTGTCTCAAAAAATAAGGTTGATGGACAACTGAGGAAGATATGAAACATCAAACTCTGGCCTCTATGTGCATAAATACACAGGGTCATACACAGCTGCAAGTAACAGTACATGCAATCGTGAACACACAAACACACACATACATAAAGTACACAAACTAGATAAGTAACAGAAAAGGAATAAAGTTAATGAGATAAATAAAAGAGAATTAGCAATTCTTTTTTCCCCCCTTATAGTTTTTTGAGACAGGGCTTCTCTGTGGCTTTGGAGCCTGTCCTGGAACTAGCTCTTGTAGATCAGGCTAATCTCAAACTCAGAGATCCTTCTGCCTCTGCCTCCCAAGTGCTGAAATTAAAGGCGTGTGCCACCATTGCCCAGCTTGCAATTAGCAAACATTTTAACACAACTGTTTCAGTAATTTATAGTCAAGGGATAAATTCCAAACATAAAAGACTTCTTTTCTTGTCAGATTATTTGAGAAAGACAAGCTATGTGCAAAGTTCATGTATTACTTCCTCTGGAAAGCCTTCCTCTAGTCTGAATTTGATGCTATCTCAAGTGCTTGCCAACTGTACAGGTGTACCTTCCACGAATGTTCAACACTACAGTCCTTCATGTACTCTCCTCTCTCTCTCCTCCCTCCACCCCTTTCTCTAGTGGGGCCTCTGGGGAAAAAAAAAAAAGGATGGAAGGAAGGTGGGTGGTGGTGGTGAATAGGAGAGAAAGTAGGGGGAGAGAAACGGGAAGGAGTCCTAGAAGTACTGAATTAAACTTAATTGTAACAACAAAAACACATACTAGAGAAATCTAAATGCAAGCTTTAACCTCACCCCTGAAATAACACAATAGGCAGGACAAGCACACTGGCTTGGTGTATAAATAAGGGCTAGTAGTGAGGTGTGGGAACAATCCTAGCATAACTGGCCCCTTAAGAAAGCAGGAAGCAGCATGGGGAGTCTTTCAGGGGAGCTGGTCCTGTCTGTGAAGGGGTAACAGTCAAACGGTATCTCAGATCTCCAGCAGCAGAGGCTTGTTTGAATGGAGAGGGGTTTTCTTCGTTCTCCCTGAAGAAGGGATAACATACAGTTAATGAACTGACTGGATACCAGAAGAACTAAAAAATGGTTCTCCCTTTTAAAGCTGTATAGTTTGCTAGCACTGAAGAACCCTAAGTAGATGTGAACACACTGAAGAATGCAGCACTACACCCCTACAAAGAAAAATTCAAACTTATCAAGAATGACAAGGTAAATGAAGAGGTTTAATTGAAAAACCCAAAGAAAGAAGGAAAATAGGCTGATGGCAGAAAGAAAATAATTGTATACATATTCAGTTCAATTCAGTTTTGAAATGTCTGGCTAACTAAGGAGGAAATAGTTAAATATTTATAGCAAACAAACAAAGCCAGATCAATCAGTGATTGAGCATCCTAACCTCTTTTTCTTCCCTACCTACTCCTCTCCTAAAAAAACAATCTTCAATATTGGCCTACTAACACATACCATCTTTCTGGGCATGGTGACACATGCCTTTAATCCAGAACTCCAGAGGCAGAGGCAGTTGGAGCTCTTCAAGTTCATGGCCAGCCTGGTCTACATATATAGATTTCCATGATAACCAGGGTTATAGAGAGAAACACTGCCTCAAAAGAGTAAAGGACACATATCATCTTAGAACCCAACAACACTCTGCCCATCCTCATTTTTTAGCCATTTTTTGCCTCCTACAGTTTCCCATGTATTAACTTAATGATGAGATAGTTCTGAGAAATGTGGCATTAGGAATTTTGTGCTAACAGTGGACTGAACTTAACACACCCTGGTTATCTAGCAATGAGTTGGGTCACTATTATATATGTGTCCTATTGTTCACACCGACACTACTATAAGGTATATGACCTTGATTTGTTTCTGTTTTTCCCAAATGTGCTGTTTATGAAACTGCTGATACCTTCTTTGTTTTGATTTGAGGAAAATAGATGAAGTATGGTTGCCTTTGGCTTGAACCCTGACACCGCTGCCACTCGTAGAATCCATCTGCTAAAACAACACAGCGTCGTCCTTTTCCCAGAGGAACCTGAGAGAATTAAACAGGATATGGTCATAGTGACAGAAGTCCATTACATGGACTTTCAGTTCAGCACTGTACTTCAGTCAGCAGTAGAGGGCTTGCCTAGCATGTACAAGGTCATAAATTCCACCTTCAGAATCACATCAAATATGTGTGCATACACATATAAACCAAAATACTCAGATTTCATGTGTGACCTAGAAGAGTTACCCTTTATCTTTTTTAAAGTACTTGGTGGCGAATGAACTCAGGCAAGTACACTACCACTGAGCTATATACCTAGAGGAGTTAAATTTCTATGCACCTCAAATCATAAGACTTTTTGGTAAGAAATAGAATCTTACTATGGATGTCCTGCAACTCATTGTATCATCCAGGCTGGCTCTGAATTCACAAAGATGTGTCTGCTTTAGACATTTTATTTATTCATTTTTGGTTTTCCAAGACAGGGTTTTTCTATGTAGCTTTGTAGACCAGGCTAGCCTCAAACTCAAGAGTTCTGCCTGCCTCTGCCTCCCGAGTGCTGGGATTAAAGGCTACTACTGCCCAGCAACACTCATTTGTTAAAAAAAAAAAAAAAATACATTAAAAAAATACATTCATTTATTTCTGTGTGCCACGTGTTTGTGTTTCTGGATATATGATTAATACTGTGAGCCCTGAGTTTTCATTTGCATTAATAAAATCAACTTTAAGCCAGGAGGTGGAGCTAGCACAGAAAGTAAACATAAAGAGTCAGAGGGAGGACTGGAAAGATGGCTCAGAGGTCACTGATTGTTCTTCCAGAGGTCCTGAGTTCAAATTCCCAGTAACCACATGGTGGCTCATAACCATCTATAGTGAGATTTGGTGTTCTCTTCTGGCCTGCAGGGATACATGCAGGAAGAATGGTGATTACATAATAAATAAATCTGAAGGAAAAAAAAAAGTCTGAGGGAATCCTGAAAAAGGGTAGAGATATGCTCAACTGCTATGATTAATCATCATGACCAAGTTACTTTTCAATTGCTGTGGTAAGACACCATGGCTAAAGCAATTTGAAGAGAGGGTTTTATTGGAGGCTTACAGTTTCAGAGGGTGAGTCCATGACCATCATGGTGGGGAATAAGGCAGCAGGCAAGGTGCTAGAGTAGTAGCTGAGAGCTTAATATATCTTGAGGCACAACCAACCACCAGATGGAAAAAATGTGAGAGCTAATTGGGAATGTCATGGGCTTTTGAAACCTCAAAGCCCACCCCCCGATGACACACTTCCTCCAACAAAGTCACACCACACCTCTTAATCCTTCTTAACCAATTTCACCAAGTAGGACCAAGTATTATGAGGCTCTGGGAACTACTCTTTTTCAAACCATCATAACCAGTAAATTTGGGCATTGTTGGTCTGGAACACAGCAATAAATTGAACAGGACTCAACATTAACACTTAGGAATATCCTTTGGAACCTTATCAGGTATACAAAATACTAAACAGTGTTGGGAAGAAGTGCTTTTTCCCTAGATGGGCTACCCACTTTGAATGACTGCTTCTCCATCATGGTATCACTACGACAGTTGGTAGTATTGAACTGCAGCTTGGAAGGATCACTTTCTTTGAACCAAGATGGAACCAGGCCCCATCGCATGGGAATAATTATCCGCTCTGATGAGTCTGCATCCTACCAGAGAAAAAAGGTTCAGATTTAGCACCTGGACTACTGGTATATACTTGTAATCCCAGCATTCAAAAAGGCTGAGGCAGGAGGATTGCTGCTAACTTAAGGCCAGCTTGGGCTACAGAGAAAGTTCTAAGCACGTCTAGACTACACATAGAAATACTGGATCAAGTGCTACAGAGATGATGCAGTGTTAGGAGTACTTGCTCCTTTTATGGAGGACCTAAGTTAAGTTCTTAGCACCCATGTCTGGCAGCTACAACTGCATGTAATCCTAGCTATGGGAAATCTGAGGCCCTCTTCCCACTGGAATACACTCAAACAGATGCATAAACACACACACAAATTAAAAACAAATAAGGTTGAGCAAGATATAAAAATACAATTACTTTTACAGATTTATATTGTTTATAATATTTATACAAAAATTATTTTACACTATATATTTTATATAAATAAAAGCAATTACTTTTACATTATATATTGTATTTATACAAAAAAACAAATATAGGCTGAGATACAGTAAGAAGATCATAATCGCTATATACTTTTTTTTTTTTTTTTTTTTTTTTTTTTTTTTTGAGACAGGGTTTCTCTGTGTAGCTTTGGAGGCTGTCCTGGAACTAGCTCTGGGATTATTCTGAGTGTTTTCCCTTTCCCTACCTGATAAGGGGGCTTTAATCAAACATCTACAAACCCTCAGACACCTCAGGTAATGCTAGTTTTTCTGGCTTGAGATTGCAACAGGCATCTAGTGGGTAGAGGCTAGGGGGCTGCTAAACATTTTACAATGTCCTGGACAGCTCTCTACAACAAAGAATTATCCCATCCATTAAAATGTCAGCAGTGAATCTGGCAGATTGTTCAGTGGGTAAAAGCACTAGCTGCTATGCTAGAGGACCAGGGTTTTATTTCCAATACCCACATGATGGCTCACAAGTTTATGTTAACTTCAATTCTGGTGCCTTTTTCTGGCCTCCACAGACACTGTATGCACATGGTACAGTCATACATTCAGGCAAAAACATATTTACATAAAAATAAATGCAAATTTTTAAAATGTCAGTGATGTCTTGGATGAGAAATCTTGTTCTCAAAAATTCCATTGGTCACCTTGTGTTTTCATCATTGAACAAACCAACCCAAACACTAGGGCAACAGAGACAATGTGGCTGAAAAGCCAAAATACTCAAAAGTATTGCTCAATATTAGTCATCTTTTCCTCTACAAGTTTTGACTTTGGAATGAACAGCTAGGAGTACTGTAGTAGACTGAAAAAAAAAAAAAAAAAGAGGAAGTATTTTGCAGATCAGTGGTTTCAAATACAAATATTGCCATCTATACATATACAGTGGCAGTTGAACAGCTGAAATGCTCTTAATTTTGTTTAAGAATTTATAGGCTTAAGAAAAATGAAGTATCAAATACTTACCAAATTAGGAAACCCTAGCAATCTAAACAAATGGGGAATACAAATATTGCTATCTATACATATGCAATGGCAGTTAAACGGCTGAAATACTCCTAATTTTGTTTAAGAATTTATAGGCTTGAGAAAAATGAAGTATCAAATACTTACCAAATTAGGAAACCCTAGCAATCTAAACAAATGGGGAGTACAAATATTGCTATATATACATATGCAATGGCAGTTAAACGGCTGAAATACTCCTAATTTTGTTTAAGAATTTATAGGCTTAAGAAAAAGGAAGTATCAAATACTTACCAAATAAGAAACCCTAGCAATCTAAACAAATGGTATTACAGATGTGCAGTCAAGTACTACATGGACAAACTCAAATGACCCAAAGGAGACTTTGTTTGCCAGGGGCTCCACTTTCCACTCCTCTCCCCAAGATCCACCCACTGGAAGAAGGACCATGGTCTACTCATCAGTTAAGGGCACTTGTTGATCTTGGAGAGTCCCTGGGTTCAATTCCAAGCACTCACACAGTGGTCTTTTATAACTTCAGCTCCAGGGGACCTGAAGCCTTGACTTCAGAGTGCGCCAGGCACACCTGCTGCACATGCATGAATGCAGGCAGGCAAAACATTTGTATACATTAAAAACAGTTTCAAAATTTTTAAAAAATAAAAAAATATTTCTCATGTGCAAGGGCTGAACCAAAGATTCTGAGCATATGAAATATGCTTTATATTACTGAGCAATATCACCAGCCTCAATCACATTCTTTTTTTCTTTTTCTGTTTTTGTTTGTTTTTCTTTTTTTTTTTTTTTTAAAGACAGGGTTTCTCTGTGTAGCTTTGGAGCCTGTCCTGGAACTTGCTCTGTAGACCAGGCCTGCCTCTACCTCCTGAATGTTGGCATTAAAGGTGTGCATCACCACTGATTAAATTTTTTCTTTACCGTTATTTGTGTTATGTGTCCACTCTCTGCCAGAGTGGGTGTGGGGCTCAGAAGGAAAACCGCAGGAGCTGGTTCTCTCCTTCTACCACATAGGATTCAGAGATAAAATTCAGGCTGGCAGGTCTCTCACCCACTGAGTCCTTTTACAAGTTCCCAAATTACTTTTTTTGGAGACAGTTCCAGCCTTGAGTGGACTCAACTCACCATGTAGACCAGGCTGGCCTTCAACTCAAAGAGCTCTGCCTGCCTCTTGTCTGCTTAGTGTTGGGATTAATTAAAGGTGTGCACCATCACACTGGGGTGGGTTTTGTTGTTCTTGTTTTTCAAAGACACTCAGATGACACTGATAAAAAGGATTCAAGCTGGGTAGAGGGACACAGGCCTGTATGTAATATAAAATTCTGGAGACAGAGCTAAGGGATTTGTTGTAAGTTTGAAGCTAGCCTGATTTATATAGTGAGTTCCAGGACAGCCAGGACTACATGTAATTCAAGAGAATTTTTAAATGTATTCAAATATAAATTAGGCATGCATTAAACCAGTTTGAGACTTACTCCTTACCAAGGTCCAGAGTGGTTTTCAATTAGGGCCCGAATCTATCAGTAAAGGCTGCTTTCAAGGTCATCTCACAGGCTGGGCAGACATCAAGGGAATCAGGAGGTAGAGGACCATCACAATCCTTACCTTCTCAAAGTGCAGTCGGGAGAGAAGTACAGGGCTGCTCGACTGAGGGCTTTTATTGTATGAGGGGCAGTACTTATCCGGGTCCCTCCACTGCGGGAGCTGCTGCCTGCCCTGACGATCCTGATAGGCACAGGCCCTTGTGAGAACATCTCTAGGCAAGTGACAGGATGTTCGTCCACACATTCTTCAGCCAATGCCTCTCAGACCTATAAAGTCACAAGCTTAAGGCTTTACTCCCTAGGTCACATCGTCCTCCCTGTCATTCCCACGGGAACCTCTCACGGAGGGTCCATTAGGCCAGAGTCAGCCTCTCGCGGCCACTACAAGCTCCACAGTCCAGCTGCAAGGCTTCACGTGTTAGGTGAGAAAGCCGTTCCCCCAGGGTTTATTTCCATGAACTAATGTTTCAGGAAAGGTAGGCGAGAGCTCTCTGCGTTCACACCAGCCACACTTGCTAGCCGCACAGCCCGCACTGCCGCCCTGGGCGCACCGGCTCTGCTCCAGGGGAGGGGCCTGACCCACGCCGAGTCCTGGCTAAGAACCCGGACGGTCCTGCGCCCGCCCGCGTCCCCTCGGCGAGGCCTTCTCTTCCTCACGCCCGCGTTTCCCGAGCGGGACCGGGTCCTCCGCCTCGCCCGAGGCCCTCTCCTCCGGTCCGCCCGCCCGCGTCCCCTCGGCGAGGCCTTCTCTTCCTCACGCCCGCGTTTCCCGAGCGGGACCGGGTCCTCCGCCTCGCCCGAGGCCCTCTCCTCCGGTCCGCCCGCCCGCGTCCCCTCGGCGAGGCCTTCTCTTCCTCACGCCCGCGTTTCCCGAGCGGGACCGGGTCCTCCGCCTCGCCCGAGGCCCTCTCCTCCGGTCCGCCCGCCCGCGTCCCCTCGGCGAGGCCTTCTCTTCCTCACGCCCGCGTTTCCCGAGCGGGACCGGGTCCCCCGCCAGTCTGCCTACAGTTTCTCTGAGAGGCCCCCTCCTCCGCCCGCCCGTCCGTATCCCCTTGGAGGAGCCAGTCCCACGCGCGTCCGCCTCTCCTTACCGCCAGTGGGTAGAATCCACTCCAGTGTGTCCTGCGTCCTCCTAAGGGGACACCCGCCCCGCCCCCTGCGACAGCCGCCCCCGCCGTGACGTAAGCACAATAGGGGTTTCCTCCCGCAAGTGGGAGGTGTGGCTCCATCATGAGCTGAGCCATGGCACAAGCTAGACATTGATGCACCCTCATAAAGCAAGCACACACACACACCTGAGACAAGACAGAACCTGACACCAAGAAGCGGGACTGCTTCCCAATCCTGTCTTCCAAGTCATTTTAGACACCCTCAAACGTGGATGGCCACCCGAATGAGACTTTCTAGTTCTTCACATGGAAGCCTTTTAAGGGTCAAGAAACCAACTTTGTTTCCTTTTTAACATGTTTTGTGGTGTCCTTTAGATAAAAACAAGAGCAGTTTTCTTCACAAAAGGAGGCTGACACACAATTCCCTTTAGTGAGGTTTATTAGAAGGGAATGGCCCCCAGGCTATGACCGAGCCTGGGGGTGGGAGGAGAGGGTATTAGGCAGGAAGAATACAATAACAGAGGTCTAAGCATGATAGAGCCTGAAAGGGAAGGGCAGCCTTTCCTTTAAAGCCAGGAGAGGCCCTTTATTAAGGGCTGGGAGGGAGGGAGGTGGGTAGGGAGAGGCCAGGCAAGAGCAGCTGCTCCAAAGCATCCCCAGGAGAGGGATGAAGCAGAGAAATGTACTCAAGGAGCAGCCTTCAAAGCATCTCCATGAGCAAACCCTCCCCAAATGAGAAATCTGACTCTTTATAATCTCTTAAGGATGACAGGAAATTTCACATCATGTGATTTAACTCACCACAGCAGGAATAGCCAAGCACATGGAGTAGCCACGACCACAACCATGAGTTACTGTCTGGTCATAGCACAGACAGCTTCTTAACTATGTTCAGGTATGGTCCGATCATTTCAGGTTGTGGGATTTGGCCTAAAGTTGCAGGCGTATGTTCTAAGATGCACTTGTCACAGGCATACCACATACAAGGTGTGCATGACGGAAGTCAGAAAACAGCTTCTGGGAAATGGCTCTCTCCTTCCACCACTAGGTAGTCAGTATTGGCAAGTGCCTTTATCTGCTGAGCCATCTCAATAGCCCCCAGGGGAGGTCCACTTCTTAAGAAGATCTACTGGTGTTTCCAATGGTGTAAAACCACCTGATTTGAGTTTAAAGCCCATGGCCCTTGGGGTATACCCTAGCTAGGCTTTCTTACTCCAGCCTGTTCTTCCCACTCACAGACTGACCCAGAACAGACACTCTGGATATCTCCCAATCCAGAGTTCACCTGGGAACACCTGTTGAAGGACCTCTGCCCTCTGGAGACCCATCCATCTATAAACGACTGAAGATGAGTGAGTCATCAGACCTACTAGGTGTTGTCATTCGCCAGCCTTTGTCCCCATCCTAAGCTTGGAATTGACACAGCCCCAAGGGGGTACCTGCATGTTCCAGTTGGTGAAGGGAGGCCTCAAGGAGAAATGGAGGCCCTGAGCACAAGCCTGCAGAAGAAGCAGTTGTAAGAAATACATGCTGACTTATTATAGCGATAAGACAGTTTCTTTGGGGATAAATATCTGAGACAGTCTGAATATTTTATTCATTTGTGATGGCTTCTTGCAGGCAAGGTGAAAAAAATTCTACCCTAGCATTCCTGGGTGATAGGATGGAATTTAAAAAAAAATAAAAAAAAAATCTGTATTGATTCGTGATTGTTTCTGAATACAGAGGTGTGGGGAAGGGTTTCCACTGGCTTCATGGGGACGAAGCAACTTTAACATAGTGTTGGAAAAAGGCAGGAGTAGGGCTTAGGCTGGTCTTTAGCCCACCGATGCCAAGATGATATCTACTGGCAGCTCCTCTGAGCTTCTTGCTGTCACCTGCATTGTCACCGTGTCCAAAAGCAGAAGTCGGGAGCGCACAAGGATGTCATGACCACCCCGGAACACACCTGGAAAAAGAGAAAGGAAATAGGGTTTTGTGAGGCTGAAGGGGCTGATAAAGGCAGCCTCTATGCAAAGGCACGGGGGGGGGGGGGGGGGGGCCTAGGCAAATCTCACAGCTTCTTTGAACTCTGGAACCCTTAACAAAAAGTATAGCAGTAAGAAGGTTAACTATTAGCAGGACATTGGTGACAAATGCCTTTAACCCCACACTCAGAGTTCCAGGACAGCCAGGGCTATTACACAGAGAAACCCTGTCTTGAAAAAGAAAAAGAAAGCAAATAAACAACAAACTAAAGAATGTTCAAGCTCCTGCCAGGCTCAAGTGAGGCAGGGATATGGAAGTCTTATTTTAGAATCTCATGTTAGAGGTTCATACATGGTGGCTGAATCTGAGAGTGTTGATGAGGGGGAGAGACCTATTAAGAAAAAAACCACAAAGCAGATGTTTGACAGACCCAGGGGACTGAGCTGCCTCATCAAGGCCAGAGCGTTAAGCCTGGCGGTGAGCTATGTGCTTGCACTGAAGCAGAACATCTTCCCAATTCTGTTTGTAAACCATTCACCTCACACCCACAAATTAACCAATCCTCCCCTCCAAAAAACCAAGGTTGGGTGTGTCTTAATGGTATAACACTTGCCTTGCCTAGCAGGCAAGAGGCCCTGGGTCTGATTAGCAGCACTGGAGGGGAAAAAAACCACTAGGCATAATGGCTCATTAAAGGCTGAAGCAGGAGTATTATAAATTCGAGGAATCTTGTGCTACACAGCAAGACTCTGCATCAAGAATCTGCCTAGCCTCAATCCTATAGTTTTCAATCCCCTCAATTCCAGCTACATGTCCACAACTGTGAATCTATGGCCTTTTTTATGTTAAACACTGGATATCAAGTATTTACACAGGGGTTACAGATAATTTGCATGAAAATACTCTGGGGAAGAATGGGCAGAGCTGCTCTGAGAGTGGAAAGACTGGGTTCTTTATAAGCGCTATTCAATTTTGTGTTTGAAAGTTTCCAGGACAAAATGCTTAAAAGGGTGGTGGTGTCACACACCTTTAATCCCAGCACTCGGGAGGCAGAGACCAGCATGGTGTACAAGAACTAGTCCAGGAAAGGCTCCAAAGCCACAGGAAAACCCCCATCTCGTAAAACAAAAAACAAAAACAAACAAACAAACAAACAAAAAAAACCCTACACTGGGGGCTGGGGAGATGGCATTTGGATCCCAAATCATGGACTATTGGGAACATCTGGATCTCCAATGTAAATCATGCTGCTTTCAGAGATGCTGTTTCAAGAGACCAGCAGTCAGGGGGAAACGCTGAGTCATCATGCCATGCCCAGTGCAGCCAATGTTATAAAATAAAGGACAAGCCCCAGCTAGGACTACAATCAATGGCATTTCCACCTGTAAAGCTACCCAGGCCCTCCCCACAGATGTTCCTTACCAGCTAGCAGCAGCGTGTGAGTATTCTTGTTTTCTGGTACTTTGTCTGACCTCTCACAAGGATGCATTCCCAAAAACTTCACAATATTGCCCACAGCCTCTGTAGGAAGAAACCCCAGCACTACTAAGTTATGGGTGTATGTAATGTGTGTGTGTGTGTTTATCTTGCTGGGCCTCCCATTCATACTACGCATGCACTTTCCCACTGAGCCACAAGCCCAGCCCCAAGTGTCCATGCTACCATACTCAACACATGTGCTCCAGATTCTTGGTGGGAAGAGGGGAGGCACATGGCAGCTAAAGTATAATAGCTGAGGGTTCTGCAAAACAGCCAGGTCAGAGGGGCCACCAGCATTTTACCTTCAAGGGTCTTGATGGTAGACAGGGTAAATGTTTCCTCCTTCTCAAACTCATCCCCAACCTCATCCCAGGCTGCTTCAAAGTTTACTTTCATGACTTTCTGGATGTGATCAGCCACAGTAACTTCTAGATCCTCCAGCTGGAGAAACACAGACAGAAGCCAGACTTCAGGAGAGACTTCCTGTTCTGCATTTCTAGGCCTCTGCTCTAAACTTGTCCCTTCCTTCCCACAGCTCACTTAGCAGATATCTATCTGCCAGTGTGTGGGGACAGGGTGGGCTTCAGGACACAGAGCAAGTTACCTTGGGACCCATCCCAAAGTACTCAATGAAAGTGGCACTCCTTCATCAGGCAGCAGCCATTTCTTCAGCAGATTCTGTACTTTAGCAGTGCCCTCGAGGCCCAACATAGGCTGGACCCCATTGTCACCTCAGCTGTGA